TGTTCCCACAATCCTGTTTATGGCATCCTCATAAAACTTGACTGCTTTGAAGGCTTTTGATGCAGCAAAAGCTTATGTATTACTTTACAAGCCTGCCCTCTCCAATCTCTGCAGTACAAGACATGAGCTCTAATAGCATATGTAAGGAAGTACCCTTTTTGAAAAGACAGCTGGATGTTTGGGTTTTTTTACATCTTCTAGAATGGTCTTGTTCTACAGTAGTTTCATGTGTGCCTATGTACAGGCAGACACAAGTTATCCTTGCCAAGGTAAAGCACAGTGGGGAAAAGACAAAGCAATTGAGGGGAGAGAGGCTGCTGACAGCAGGAAAAAAAACTTTACTGCCCTTGACCTGGTCAAACCAGCCAAGCCTGCCAGTATATCTGTGGCCTCAAGCCTACCTTATTGTTTGTACTGTCTGGAGTATGCTATTGAGAATCCTAGAATTTAATCTTTAAATAGAATACTTGATGAAAAGCAGGTGGGCTTTACATGTCTGGTCTAGTAAATAAATACAACATGAACTTAGCCTCCTGATAGTCATTGTAAACCCTGTTGCTATTTTATGTCTCATCTGGACAATAAGATAAAGATGCATTACAAAAAGAATGTTAAGAGACAACTGAGAGCCCTCAGGCTCACACTGAGCACTTAAAAAGCCATCTGCCATTATAAAAACATCCTGGGTGGTATTACTGGCTGTAACTGGCACTCAAATCAGAACAGCAGTGCTAGATAGGTGCTGTCCTTAAATCTGTAAATCGCTTTTCCTGCACATCATCTGTGGATCATTCCTCTCCCTGTTCATCCTGGTAAACAATCCTAAGAGGCAGCCTAGATGACTTTTCACTGATACAGAGACAGAACTATTTTTTTCAGGAAAAAACATGTGAAACTGGTGATATCTTTCTTGAATTGGTGAGATTCTTGATCCCCAAACTGAACATTTGTCATCTTATCCAGTTAATATTACACCTCTGTGTTTCATCATGCATCTGAGCTGAAATGATATAAACATAATAGTTATGATTTTGCTAGGAGAGCATGCCAGTTTCTTCAAGTTGGGTTAAGATGTGGACATTGGATAACAGTCTCTTTTCAGCCTGACACTGATTTTGGTTTTCACTGTGTATTTTATTCTGCTTGCATGTTTCATGTGCAGAATAGTTTTAGCTTGGTCGATGTTTAACAAAAGGAAAATTATCAATGAAACATCAAGGAAAATATTATGGTGGTAAAATTAAACCATCACAGTGAAGAAGGATATACAACCATGGTTTTACTCAGTCATAATTTCCTAGCAGAATTAAGACACTTATTTCACTGCTGGTATTAGGAAAACAGACACTTTCCTTCCTCAGTTTTTGGCAGTACCTCTTGTGCCTGCTGTTGGAGCCAGATAAACACATGCTGACACATTTAGAGGTTCCTACTTGCGTGTAGAAAACAATTACTACAAGAAGTCAGCATGTATACATACATGCAATACATGGCGTGTATTTTTTTCTTTCCTTTCCTTTTCTGTTTCATTTCTTCCACAATAGAGTTGGAGTTCTTTACAACCCCTGTTCATACTGTGTGTCTAGCTCTAATCAAAGTACAAGAATTTGCTCCAAACTCTAATTTCAGATTCAATGTTCTATCTTCTTTTTGAAGTTTCTGTTCTTGAAATCAACTACATAATAGAGTCATCTTCCATGTTAAAAAAAAATAGAAATGGGTTTCCCCTATAGCTAAAGAAGAACCTAAAAGCTCACCTTAGTGCATAATATGAACTTACAGAGAATACAGTGAAGACCAGACAGTTGTACAGATTTTTAAGATTACACATTTAAGGTAAGTTTAATCTATTTATGATTTTTGAACTCTTCTAATAGAACATAGAATAGTTTGGGTTGGAAGGGACCTTAAAAATAATCCAGTTTCAAACCCCTCTGTCATAGGCAGGGAACCTTCCATTAGACCAGGTCACTCAGACCGCCATCCAACTTGGTCTTCTCGTTTCTCAGTATCACAGATTGTATTTTCTACCTAACATATGTATCAACTGTTAAACCTAGATTGCTCTCTGTATAAATCTGTGCAGATTTGGTACTCACCAAAGTCAGAGGACAAGAGACATCTGTCATTAGTCATTAAGACAGTTAGGGTTAGACTGCTTACCCTGTCCATTTTTTGGGTTTTTTTAAAGCATTTTTTAAAATTGTATTTAAGTGTTGACTTAGTGTCAACATCTTGACTTTCCAGCATGCTATGCTGTTGGAATTCTGAAATTTAACATAATTTTCATAGCCAGAATTTAGGAATATCACCATAATAATCAGCAGGTTTGTAATTTTCCTGGGTAAGAGCTCTTCTATTAATGTCTTCTTGAACTTTTTCTAATGAGATTTCAGCTTACTTGTATTCAGAGGTGCACAAATATTCCTGCATTTTGCATATACCGATCCAGTTAGTTATATAAAAATGCTTCTAAGTATTCTATGCCGGATGAAATGAGTATGGATGACATAGGAGAAACAGGTAACACAGATAATTGTAATTAATAAAAAAGAGGCATATATTGCCCTATCTCAGAAAACTAGACAAGTGAATCTCTGGAGCTTGGAACTTCATCCTTGTATGCAGGATAATCAGGATAATTGAGAGGTCACCTTACATAACCTCAGAAACCAGACATAATGACTTCTGTAGCAGCACTGAATCATTCAGGCTAGAAGGGATGTAGGGAGACCTCTGGCCCAATCTCTTGCTTAAAGGAGGGTCAGATGTGAGATTGCACCAGATCATCTTGAGAATCTCCAAGGGTGGACTGCACAAGCTCTCTTTGCAACCTGCTCTGCCTCTTGACTTATCTTCAGGGGGAAAACATGTTGTTTCTAACATCCATCAGGAATTTCCTGTTTCAGTTGATGTCTTTTGTCTGTTGCCCTCCTGCTGTGGTCTGCTGTGGTAAGCCCGCTTCCATCTTTTCCAGCCCTTCTCTCTGGGATACTGGAGGTTGCAATTAATTGCCCTTGAAGCTATCTGCTCCAGGCTCAAAAAGCCTCACCCTGCAGCTGCTGCTTGCAGATGGTCACCAACCATCTCAGTGCTCCCCTCAGAACTTTGATCAGTTTGACAGCATCTTGTATAGAAGTCCCACAATTGAACACAGGAATTCTGATAAGGTCTAACAATAAGCCAAGGTTTAATGAGTAGAAGGTAATTTGTACTTGCACAGAACTAGGATTCTGTGGAACTAAGATTCTTGGATAACCCAGGTTTCCAAATGTAAGAAGGTGTTGGTGTCCCTGACAGGCTTCCTTTGGAAAAGGATTGAGCTGGAAACACAGCTGGGTGAGGATGCTTAAGGGAAAAGAGAGGAAGAGCTCTCATTAAGTCATAAACCTCTGAGATACAGACTGTCACAAAACGGAAGGGAACCAATTCCTGAGCGGTGTGGCAGATACACAAACCTGCCTGCTGCTTTATCACAATAGTTTCCACTTAAGATTTGGATAGTCTAAAAGAAGGTTGGGATGCATGTATTTAAGCTGACTAATGTGTATTACTTCCTTTTCCTGACAGATAAATACGTTGTTGTTTCTGAAGTGTAATGAAGGACTATTTCATAGCCACTTTCTCACTAGGGCCTGGCACTTGCTTTGGACTTTTGATCTCTGCTGGAGTTCAAACATTATGTAAGATTTATAGTAAGGATTGATCTTTTTCCCCATATTTTTTTTCCCTGTGATACACAGCATTTATTTTTGTAATGACAATCCACAGTGTTGTGCTCTCATGCTTGTCCTGCTGTGTGGCACCTGGCAGTGACACCTGTACAACTTAGTACAGGTTAGCTTTAGGTATTAGTGCTGCCCATTTGATTTCAATGGTCTGTACTCCCCAGGAAAATTTAAACACAAGTGGAATGTTTACAGAATCCGAATCTTATCTGGTCACATACCTACCTGTAGCTGGAAGGGACTGTGATAGTCTTATAGTCATACATCACTTTCCCCAGCAGCATGTTATTCTATCATGTCTAATTATATTTGAGCAAATTATTTGGAAAAAAAAGTAATTTATCTGCCAGATTTAGCTGCTTTACCTGCTCAGGAAGAATCTTAGACCAGACTATGATTTTTCTCCTATTTATTGGTTATTCTGACGTCATGAACACTTTTTTCATGGTGTTAAATGTGGATAGATCACTGAATTTTTGTAAGGGATCCACGCTGTTAGACAGATTTGCATGGATCACTTCTAGAAGTTCTGATATGTCATTCAGCTCATTTCAGCACAATGAAACGTTCTAGGCAAGATCTCTCAACGTGAGATTTCTGCGGCAAAAGCAGGCATATAGCATCAGTGAAAGGATGTTTCTATGCAGGCCTTGCGTGCAAAACATCTCTCAGTGTATCTGCCTGCGGTGCACTCCCACCGTGAGGGACTCCCGGAGGCCGGGCCTTGTCCCTCCTGAGCCCGGCTGGGGTCGGTCCTGCACCAAAACCTGCCCGTTTACAAATCCCCCTTCCAACGTGAGCGTAGTTTGAGGTCGGCGAGCATGGAAAAATCGAGGAGCTGGATTGCTTTTCTGGCACTTAACCCGCCGTTCGGCAGCCTGCGGCCACACCGCCGGAGTCACTGTCGGGGCCGCTCGGTGGCGGGGTGCCTCCCCGGGCTCGGGGCCCGCCTGGGGCTCCGCCAGCTCCGCTGCTTCCCCCGCTCCAGCCGGGGCTCCTCGAGTGCTGATGCTTGCCCCGGGCGCCTCTGGCTGCCGCGGGGGGTATCTCTGCCGCCGCCGCCGGGCCGGGCCGGGCGGGGCGGGGCGGCAGGTGGCGCGGATGTCGCTTTGGAAAGGGGCGGGCGGTGGCGCAGGCGGATGCTGCGCTCGCTCCTCCTCCTCCGTCGTCGCCGCAGCCGCCGCCTCCTGCTCCTCCTCGTATCGCGGCGGTGGCGGGCAGGCTCCGGCCGCGGCCCCGCAGCTTCTCGCCGAGGCGGCGCGGCCTCTGCTCCCTCCCTCCTTGCCTCGGTCGCTGCCCGGCCCCGGCGCGATGTCGGGCGGCGCGGCGAGCGCCCCTAAGCCCCTCCCGTCCTCCGGGCCCAAGTCGCTGCGGGAGATGCCTCATCCCCTGGCCACGTCCAGCAGCGAGGAGATGGGGCCGGCGCTCACCCCCAGCCCCGACCTGCTCCTGCCCCGCAGCATCGCCGACAAGGTATGGCCCGGGGGAAGGGGACGCGGCATTTGAAGGGACCTCTGGTGTTGAAGGAGAGCGGGGAGAAAGACTGTGTGTGTGTGTTTCCCTGACACATCCCTTTTCCCGGCTTCGTCTCTCCGTGGGGAGGTGAAGCCCTAGGCGCTGCTGACATCCATTGCAAGAGCCCAGATAGGCTCTGTGGAGGAGAAGGCATCGTGTTCCTTTCTGGAGGGACACTGGTAGCCGCGCTATCACAGAAGGGTTGTGAGAGGCAGTATTTTATTTACTGTATCTGCTGTGGCTCATACCGTCTACAGATAGGTGTGAATTTTTCAGGCATTGCTGCAGCTCCTCTGCTGTGTCCTTGTAGCCCTTATGGGGAAGCCTTGGAGTTGGCATTGTGTCCTTAACATCAGATTGTCTGTGATTGTCCTTTCCAGGCTGAACTCCTGCTCACTTCTTCCCAGCACTAACACAGACAGGGCACTCTGCAGGCGGATCTGTGTCAGTTTTCCCTTCCCTAGGTCTGGCACATGTTCACAGGACACTAGTGAACTCTGTGAAGTGCCTTCCCCGTGGTGATAATTCAGTAATGGCAGTACTGCACTGCGATCCATTAGCTACGCTTGCAAGGACTTGTTATCTCTGTAGATAAGTCTTCCAGAAATTTTTAAGGTAGGATTTCCTGGGAGGAAGAACTGCAAGGGATGATGTGGACTCAAAAGCAGTTCTGGCAGAGCTGGTTTGTGTATACAGGGTGTTACTGAGCTCCTGGTGGCAAGAAAGAGATTCTTCTGTGGCTGTTGTCCTGGGGAATATGGAGCTGCTTCTGGGTAGGATGGAAACCCCTAACCTCCAAAAGCCTTGAGGTTGTCAGCAGTGTCTGGCCCAATACACTCCCATGCTACAGGAGACTGAGCTTGGCCTCTTCCATATTTCACCATTTGTTGTGTGCAACTGTGATGTAGGGATTCAGCACTTCTTCCTGCCCATGTAAGGAGTCCTCTTCTGAACATTTGCCCACTGTTGCTCTAATGGGAATCAAGGCTTACCTGCTCTTCAGGAGCTTAGGCTTTCATCTAACAAATTAGTCAGTTGATCACCTGCTGAGGAAAGTATATGTAACTAAGTCAGGGGTAGAAATTGTGGATGTTTCTGTCTGATTGATGGTTTAATCATGTAACTAGGTAGTTGTCTGGCAAACCTGTAGCAAAAGAAATTGGCAGCTGCCTTCACAAATCTTGCAGCTGGGGAGCTGCAGCTGTTAGCACGGTTTGTCCATGCTGCTGTATAGCTGGTGAGAGGCAGTGTTCTGAGGAGTATCTCATACCTTATAATGTCTTAACTCAATTGCATTAAAGAACTTCGTTGCTTTTGGAGTGCAAGCAAGCTTCTCTCTGCTTTAGTGCTTTGAGATTTTGAGAAGTGTATCAGTATTCCTGACAACCTGGTAACAGAAATAACTCTAGCTTCAGGCTGTGGTCAGCTAAGCAGGAAAGTTCTTGCCCAGTTTTTCCATAAGCAACAGAAATTAAATTCACCTTCCTGTACCCTGTATGTAGTACCATTCTGTTCTAGGCACTTTGCAGCATAGAAGTACTCTAAAAAGCAGAGCAAAAGTGGCTGTGGTAAGTGGTGTTTAGACTTGAGAGCAGTTCTGTGCTTGAGCTGGAAATGGCACTAGGCTATGATTGTTGCAGAATAAAAGGATATCAGTAGGAAGAGAATGTAATTTTTTTTTCCCTTCCAGCTGAATTAGCAGAAAAAGGCATATGTCTTACCCTCTTGATGGAAAGACATCAACAGCTCTGCTGTGTATGGGATGTCCCTTCTTCAGCATAGTATTTCACACACTGGCAAGAAGAGAAATGTGGTAACCCCTTTCCTACCTCAGAAAAAGAATTCAATAAACAGGTATTCCTAGCTTTAAGGCAATGCTTGCACTGAGTAGTTTACAGAGGGAGTATGGTAAGTGGAGATAAACAGGAAAAACCACTCTTTGCGTGGTTTGTATGTCTCAGTCTCAGAATGATGGAATGGTTTGGGTTGGAAGGGAGCTCAAAGATGGAGCTCAAAAGCTCCATGCTGTGGACAGGGACATCTCTCACTAGACCAGATTGCTCAGAGCTCTGTCTGTTCTGGCCTTGAACACTTCCAGTGTTAATCTTAAAAATCTTATTCTTTGATTGTGGATTATTGATCTTTCGAGATACTGGCTCTCTAATCAACTAATAGTGCTGAGTAACTTCAGTAGCTGAGTAACAAAGGGAGGTCAGCATTCAAGTCTGAGTTAGGCTTAAAGCTCTGCATTTGTTATTTATTGATTCTTGAGTAGGAGCTGTTCTGATCTTCTCTCTGGCCTTTTGGGAGAGTCTGGTGGAGATTGGTTCTGCAGAAATTTTGGTCCAAGTCTCCTGCTTCAAAGTGTCTTTGAGTCAGATTCTATAAGGACAGCTGTCCATAGGCAGGCTAGGATATCCCTTTGGGAAGAGGGCTAGTGACAATAGCTAGTCCATCACCATGAAGTGGGTAATTTGCTTTTTCTGGGTTCCTTGTGTTTTCTCTGAGCAAATACTTCCTGAAATCTGCTGCAAGCTACAAGTACCTAGAACTGAAATCCTCTGAGTGGAGAAAGTTCAGAAGTAAAAGGGAGGTTTTCTGCTCATAAAGTGCTTCAATTTTTATTTTCACTGATGTATAACATAGAAGTGGCTAAACCTCTGCCATCACTGCTTTGTATTCTTTAAAGCATGCTTTTCTTACCTTTTTTTTAATCCATTGAGTAAGAACACCACTTTATCCTGAGTCAGAGAAACCTGGGGGACAGGAACACCTGCCTGTGTGTCTCCTTTTGGATTTTGATTCAACTATGGGAATAAATTAGTACTTCAAATTCTGTGTAACTTTAAAGTCTCATGGACCTTAGGTTGCTTTTCAAGAACAGTGGGTAATGCTACTAGAGCAGTAGGTCATTGGAAAGGGAAAGAAAATATTTCATGCTGTTTACTGAGGCCATCTAAGTAGACTAGTCTCGAGTTTTCTAAATCTTAGGAGAGTGTTGCAGAACTTCTGTTATCTAAAGTAGTGGACAATTGTTTTAGGAACCAGGATACCTTGATTTTTGACAGCATCTTATCTTTTACATGTAAAGGACATTTTAGCTAAGTACTTGGCTTTCACAGTCATGCTGCAGGAAACATGAAACACTTGAGCTGTAGATTCTTGTTTCTAAAGCATTTGTATATTGGCCGTGTGTTTCTGTAAAGATCTTTCTGTTCCCCTGAAGTCTAATTGTGTGAAAAATTGTCTTGATGCCTGACCACCATGAGTGTTTTTGACTTTATTCTCCCTTCACCCTTGCTAGCTTTCAGATGAGGAGACAGCTAAAGCTGAACCTGAGTACTACCATGTTTGTCATGTTTTGAGTTTTTTTCCTTTTATTTGGTTGAGTTATTTTTAACATCAGGTGAGAGGAGAAACATGCAGAAGAAAGCAATTCCTCAAGTTGCATGGCAGGGTTAGTTGTAGAGTTAGTTGTAAAACTGAGGCATTGCTGGTTTAGCTTTTGGAACCCATACAAGCTAGTTGAAATCTTGCTTTCAGAGCAGATCCACTGCTGAGGAGGGTAAGACAAATGGGGAAGTGTCCGGATTTCTCTCTGCCTTTTCTTTTTAAAATAGAAGGAAGTTCTGCTTGCACATGACTCCTTGACTCCGGTGCACCAGTTTGTCACTTTCAATAGCAAATCTGCTTTGTGCACCAGGACGAATGCCTTGACAATGAGGAGAAAAGGCAGCATTAATTGGTTACTAAGTTTATAGCAGAGGTGAGAAGATGATGTTTTGCTGTGTGAAGACTTGGATTCAGCCCTCCTAAGGCTGTGCAGATTTAGTAGGCTGCTGCTAAGATTTGGAAGTGCTAGGCTGTGCAGAGTTAGAAAGGAAGTTTTCTGTATGGCATAGTTCCGCTGTCATCTAGCTGTGGTCCCTCTAGACTTGTATAGTCTAAGAGTGTCTTCCTAGCCATGGTGGTGTTGGCTATTCTTGCCATGGTCTGCCTTGAGACAGGCAGCTATCTGAAAAGAGTATTTTATTGTGATTGATTCACATCACTGGTTTCTTGGTGAGGACTCCAAAAGCTTTAATATCCCACCTGTCCTAGGACTCAGACTCCCTTATGCTTTCTCAGACATTTCTGACTGCTCTTATTGTACTTGTGGCCAGCTCCTTGTAACTTTCTCACTTTTCTTCTTGGAAACTCTGCATACCTTGTGTTTGCCTCTGTTAACTCTATACAGCTGATGGGAACTTCAAGGTTATTTTACAGATAGTATATCAAACAGATACCAGAGTAGAATATCAGGATATCATACCTATGGAATACCAGGCTTGCAGTGATTGCCTGTCTTGAATTTGCTAGTTCATGGAGATGGACTTTAAAACTCCTACTGCAAACTTCTGGTTACTGGAAACCGAAAACTATTGTTTGCATGCTCCTCTGCTTCCAAGTTACCACCCTGGTGAATTCACAGACTTCTTATTAGCACCTGATCAAATATAAGTACTTGGTGTTTGCTGGAGTGCTGTTACATAGCACTGACTCTGAAAGGAAGCCTGGCATTTCTCCAACTCCAAAAAATACACTGTGAGTCTGAAGTTCTACTTCCAGCCTCTTTGGTTGCTATTTTATAATTATTGCTCTTGACTTTATCCACCCACAGATGAAACCAGTTTGCAGTATAATCTGAAAACTTAAAATAGATGTGCCTGAGCTTCTACAAACTTCTTTCTTCTCTGACTAGATGAGAACTTAGACCGGCACCATATATTGTTCTTAAAGGAAGCTGTGAGTAAATTCTCACTTGTGGGAGAAACTGAAGACTGCAGAAAGTCAAACTGATGTTGGTGAACTTGGGAAACAATGGATGGGTTGATCTCCGTTCCTATCTACGGGATGTAAAAATGACAGTCACGGGGAAGTTGAGGCTAGAAGGCACTTCTGCATATTGTCTTGTCCAA